TAGAATTGCAATGGCAAACAATGTGCATCACATCCTCCTTTATTCTCCACAGACTGGCATGTAATTTCATAAGTGTGAGTTATGTCAGCAATAGGTTAAGTTGATGGACTGCCAATCTGCTGTGCACAGTCTGGATTTGAATCAAGAAGACTTTTAATGCAGGTTTAATGCAAGTTCTCATTCGTAGTTTGACAGACAATACTGTCCAAATTAAACACCATTACATTACAGGAAATAGAAGCACTGATTTCATCAATAAGTGCTACTCTTTGGGGCAGTCTCAGCTGTGTATTTGACATTACTTACTTTGTGTGAGTCCTGCGATGTTTCTCGGCTGAAAGTCACCCTAATTGTAGCACATTTACTGCAGTTTTAAAGTAAGTGCTAACAAGCTGGGGCAACTTTCAGTGAATTTGGACACCACAAATGTGGAGTGTGAAACTATAATCACATTCATTGTTGTTGAGATTCTAACTAAAGTGTTTCTCTTTATAAATATCTATTAAAATTCTTGCACATATGCTTAGTGAAACATGTGTTGAAATCTCTTAGAGCAATACTTTTTAATACATCAGTGAGAGCATCATTTGGCTGTGTACCTACTCTCAACCTAGCGTGATAACTGCCTGTCAACGTGTGAATGACCTGGTTCATTCACAAGGAGTGATCTGCCATCATCACTTCTATTGTCACATTGGCTTCTGTGGGTTGGACTGTGAATCATCTCAATTTACGATCAGACTCCAAGCATTGCAATGAACATCACTTGACTCAGGCCCCTCAGAATGAAAAAGTGGTCAACTGGTAAACTCTCAGTGGACAACTTCTAGGAAAGCAGGCATGCACTGATTACATTTGTCATGGTAAACATGGCAGGAGAAGATGCAAAGAAGTAGACCACCTATCTGTCTTATTGTCACCGTTGATATCCTATCAATGGCTCTGACCTTCCTGAATGGTAAGTACTATTTGTTGGGGTGATGTTGGGTGATTCAATCAACTAAAGATACTATATTTTTGTTTACAATGTATTAAACGTTAAACAGTTTGGACAACATCCAATACTTTCAAAAGAAATCACAATTCGATTACTTCAAATAGGAGCAACTTGATTTGCATTACATTCGTAAGTGCTTCTCGTTGGGGCAGTCTCATCTGTGTATTTGACTTTACTGTGTTCCGTGACTGCTGCAATGTATCTCTGGATGTTACCCCAATTGTATCACATATACTTCAGTTTTAATGTGATTTTCTGAAAGCCTTGATACCTTTCAGTGACAGCAATAATATGAAATTACTGTCTTCTGTGACTGCTGCAATGTATCTCTGGATGTTACCCCAATTGTATCACATATACTTCAGTTTTAATGTGATTTTCTGAAAGCCTTGATACCTTTCAGTGACAGCAATTATATGAAATGTTGAACCGGTGACATTTTTTCACTTCATACAGATTAAGTTGAACTGTTCCCAGTGAATTTGGTGAAATTTATTCTGCCAACTGTGTGTTTGTTTGTTTTTTTCTTCACATGAACTATCATCAGAGCTATTGTCCCTTTTCATTTTGATGCTGGGCAGATCCTGAACATTCATTGGAATGACACCGGACTCAGAATGAAAAGCATTGCATTTGTTCAATTGGCAAATTCTCAGTAGCAGGTATGTAACAACTGTGAACAGCAATTAATGCACAGTGAGGAAGATTGTCACTAACTGCTAGCCAAGTACTGGCCTGTCTGAAAGGCAAACCAAACTTCAGACGTAGTTGGCAGGAGTCGAACCTGTGCGGGGGAGACCCCAATGGATTTCTAGTCCATCGCCTTAAACCACTCGGCCACAACTACATAAAACAGCCTTGCTTCATCGTCGACCAATGTCTGAACGTATTCCCATGCAATTTGTTTGAGAAAAGTATAGGCTTCACTTAGGGACCCTGCTCAGGTATTTCGGCAACAAAGCAGTGGAGTTGGTTCTTTCTATGCACAGTGCCATCCTGACACACATAAGCTACAGCGTCGTGGACCATGCTCGGGTATAACCAATACTTTCCAAATAAAACACCATTACATTACTTGAAATAGAAGCACTGATTTCATCAATAAGTGCTACTCTTTGGGGCAGTCTCATCTGTGTATTTGACATTACTTACTTTGTGTGAGTCCTGCGATGTTTCTCGGCTGAAAGTCACCCTAATTGTAGCACATTTACTGCAGTTTTAAAGTAAGTGCTAGCAAGTTGGGGCATAAGCGTGAGCTGTTAGTTTGAAGGGGAAATCAGTGTCAGGTGTTTTCAGTCTATGGCATAACCAAGCCACCTTCTTACTGTTCAAGGGTGCAACGGTTAATACACATCATTTAATACTTGACGTAAAACACAGTTACAAAACATTTAACTCAAAGGAGCTACTCCACTCACCAGCGGTAGCAGTCAGGAATTCCAGGAAATATCCCGTTTTACCATTAAATACATTTCTAGTATGTTAAGAGAGATAATACACTTTAGTCGTTAGCTTACATTTAGTGTGAATGGTTGAGCGGCGGGCCTAACCATTCTATTGGACCGTCTTTACAAGCCTTAGCAGGAATGGAGCGTAAGACAGGGCTTAAGTGCAACTCCTTGGCCAAGCATCTTTTCAAGCCTTTTCAAGCCATTTCTAACCCCAACCCTAAGCTGTACATGATGTGAAAGAAAACGTGATTCCTCAGACCAAGCCACCTTCTTACTGCTCCACTGTCCTGTGCTGATGCTCATGTGCAGTTTCTATGAGCTTTTGATGGAAGAAACTGGCCAGCATAGCTAGTGTAGAGGCCACCATTTTCTTGGTTTTCGTCCCTGGTTGTCTAGTGGTAAGGATTCGGCGCTCTCACCGCCGCGGCCGGGTTCGATTCCGGTCAGGGAATGGTGTTTTATCCACCGCTGGCCAAATTAACATTTAAAAGAAACCATATCACACAGAGAAATCCGTCCTTCGGGCGGGTAACCAGTGACCTGAGGATGACTAGTTTAAGTACCTACAGTCCTCCGCTCTACCAACTGAGCTATCGGAGGTGAAGCGAAGCTCAATCCATGTATATCTATAAAACCATTCGGTATATCGATATATAAGGTGCGAATTTATCTCAACTGAGCAAGCCACTAAGTGGTGACGGTGGCAAGGAAAAACTCCCTAAGATGTTAAGAGGAACAAACCTTGAGAGGAACCAGAATCAGAAGGGAACCTATCCTCATCTGGGTAACATCAGATAGTGTGAAAAAGATGATTATGGATTCATATGGAGTCTCTTTGGCCTTAGAAGCAGCTGTAGTCCCAGCAATCTGGAATTGGAGTAGATGAGAGCTCCATCCAGAGGTAGGCCATCCAAAATGGATCAGGTAGGTCCAGAGAGCAGAGGGGATCAGGATCTCTAGTATCTCCATAAAATCGGGTGTGGCTCGACAGAAGGAGGGAGGGAGAGAAAAAAACTAGGACTGTGCTTAGCATAAGAGAAAGTCTAGTCAGGGTAGGCTTGATTAAACAAATACGATTAAAGCCTAGACACTGAGACTGTGCCTGAGTCCCGAACTCTAATTGGAAGACTGTTCCATAAGTGTGGGGCTCCAGAGAGAAAGCTCATCCTCCTGTTGTAGCCTTCGCTATTCGAGGTGCGAACAAATAGCCTGCATCTTTTGATCTAAGTAGGCGTGGCGGATCATAGAAAAGCAAAAGGTAGATAGCGACTACTGCGGCGAGACCATTTAGTTAATTATGGGTTACTAATAGTATTTTATAATATAAAGTATTTTATAGTTATCTTTGATAAGTGAGCTAGCAAACGAGATCGATTTTCTATTTTTTGCTCTTCACAAGCAAAGCGGCAAAGTGATTTAAGGAAACACTAGACTATTTTTTCTGGAGCCAATAAACGTGTTTGTGCATCTTTATATTCTCATGTTTCTGCCCTTCTTCAATACATTTACTTCAATTAAGTAACTAGACCATTTACAACTTTACATGTACACATTCGATTCAGTTCAAATCAATTTTATTTGTGTAGCGCTTTTTACAGTGGACATTGTCTCAAAGCAGGATTCGTTTGACTTCCTTTACGTCAATGCAATTTCCCAGGATGGAAGATGTGTTTGGCACGAGCTTGTTTGATGAATGCCAAGGTGCGTTTTTGCTCATCTTCATAAAGATTCTCTGCATTAAGACTCAGGTTCATAGCAGGCTTCAACTTGCACAGGTAAAGCCCCAGTGCAGTTCAAGTCCAGTGCCATATTCTGTTGGCCATCAAGCGTTATGGGGCACAGGACAAGGCTTAAGCGGCGGGCCTAACCATTCTATTGGACCGTCTTTACAAGCCTTAGCAGGAATGGAGCATAAGACAGGGCTTAAGTGCAACTCCTTGGCCAAGCGTCTTTTCAAGCCTTTTCAAGCCATTTCTAACCCCAACCCTAAGCTGTACATGATGTGAAAAGAGTACTGATTCCTCAGACCAAGCCACCTTCTTACTGCTCAAGGGTGCAACGGTTAATACACATCATTTAATACTTGACGTAAAACACAGTTACAAAACATTTAACTCAAAGGAGCTACGCCACTCACCAGCGGTAGCCAGTCAGTAATTCCAGCAAATATCCTGTTTTACCATTTAATACATTTCTAGTATGTTAAGAGAGATAATACAGTTTAGTTGTTAGCTTACATTTAGTGTGAATGGTTGAGCAGCGGGCCTAACCATTCTATTGGACCGTCTTTACAAGCCTTAGCAGGAATGGAGCGTAAGACAGGGCTTAAGTGCAACTCCTTGGCCAAGCATCTTTTCAAGCCTTTTCAAGCCATTTCTAACCCCAACCCTAAGCTGTACATGATGTGAAAGAAAATGTGATTCCTCAGACCAAGCCACCTTCTTACTGCTCCACTGTCCTGTGCTGATGCTCATGTGCAGTTTCTATGAGCTTTTGATGGAAGAAACTGGCCAGCATAGCTAGTGTAGAGGCCACCATTTTCTTGGTTTTCGTTCCTGGTTTGTCTAGTGGTAAGGATTCGGCGCTCTCACGCGCGGCCGGGTTCGATTCCCGGTCAGGTAAAGTGATTTAAGGAAACACTAGACTATTTTTTCTGGAGCCAATAAACGTGTTTGTGCATCTTTATATTCTCATGTTTCTGCCCTTCTTCAATACATTTACTTCAATTAAGTAACTAGACCATTTACAACTTTACATGTACACATTCGATTCAGTTCAAATCAATTTTATTTGTGTAGCGCTTTTTACAGTGGACATTGTCTCAAAGCAGGATTCGTTTGACTTCCTTTACGTCAATGCAATTTCCCAGGATGGAAGATGTGTTTGGCACGAGCTTGTTTGATGAATGCCATGGTGCTTTGTTGCTCATCTTCATAAAGATTCTCTGCATTAAGACTCAGGTTCATAGCAGGCTTCAACTTGCACAGGTAAAGCCCCAGTGCAGTTCAAGTCCAGTGCCATATTCTGTTGGCCATCACGGGTATGGGGCACAGGACAAGGCTTAAGTGCAATTTCTTGGATCATTTATGGTTTTATCGTTTATGTTTGATGCTATCCAAAGTGCCAACCGTCTTTCAGCACGTAAGTAGGATTTCCTCGTTAGTATAGTGGACAGTATCTCCGCCTGTCACGCGGAAGACCGGGGTTCGATTCCCCGACGGGGAGTCTGTTTGCTAACACCGGTGCTCTATTCTTTTGCACACCACGCGAAAGAACCATGAGACAAGGCTTAAGTGCAATTCCTTGGCTTTTTTATGTTTTGGTCATTTCCCACGTGCCAAGCGTCTTTACAAGCCTTACCAGGAATGGGCGCTAAGACAAGGCTTAAGTGCAACTCCTTGTGCCAAAGCGTCTTTACAAGCCTTAGCAGGAATGGAGAGTAAGACAAGGCTTAAGTGCAACTCCTTGGCCAAGCGTCTTTTCAAGCCTTTTCAAGCCATTTCTAACCCCAACCCTAAGCTGTACATGATGTGAAAGAAAACGTGATTCCTCAGACCAAGCCACCTTCTTACTGCTCAAGGGTGCAACGGTTAATACACATCATTTAATACTTGACGTAAAACACAGTTACAAAACATTTAACTCAAAGGAGCTACTCCACTCACCAGCGGTAGCAGTCAGGAATTCCAGGAAATATCCCTTTTACCATTAAATACATTTCTAGTATGTTAAGAGAGATAATACACTTTAGTCGTTAGCTTACATTTAGTGTGAATGGCTGGCGGTCGGGCGCCTAACCATTCTATCGGACTGTCTTTACAAGCCTTAGCAGGAATGGGCGTAAGACACGGCTTAAGTGCAACTCCTTGGCCAAGCGTCTTTACAAGGCTTACCAGGAATGGAGCGTAAGACAAGGCTTAAGTGCAACTCCTTGGCCAAGCGTCTTTTCAAGCATTTTCAAGCCATTTCTAACCCCAACCCTAAGCTGTACATGATGTGAAAGAAACGTGATTCCTCAGACCAAGCCACCTTCTTACTGCTTAACTCAGGGTGCAACGGTTAATACACATCATTTAATACTTGACGCGTAAAACACAGTTACAAAACATTTAACTCAAAGGAGCTACGCCACTCACCAGCGGTAGCAGTCAGGAATTCCAGGAAATATCCCGTTTTACCATTAAATACATTTCTAGTATGTTAAGAGAGATAATACACTTTAGTCGTTAGCTTACATTTAGTGTGAATGGTTGAGCGGCGGGCCTAACCATTCTATTGGACCGTCTTTACAAGCCTTAGCAGGAATGGAGCATAAGACAGGGCTTAAGTGCAACTCCTTGGCCAAGCGTCTTTTCAAGCCTTTTCAAGCCATTTCTAACCCCAACCCTAAGCTGTACATGTTGTGAAAGAAAACGTGATTCCTCAGACCAAGCCACCTTCTTACTGCTCAAGGGTTTGCAACGGTTAATACACATCATTTAATACTGCGTAGTAAAAACACAGTTACAAAACATTTAACTCAAAGACTACGCCCTCACCAGCGGTAGGTCAGTAATTCCAGCAAATATCCTGTTTTACCATTTAATACATTTCTAGTATGTTATGAGAGATAATACAGTTTAGTTGTTAGCTTACATTTAGTGTGAATGGTTGAGCAGCGGGCCTAACCATTCTATTGGACCGTCTTTACAAGCCTTTCCAGGGATGGAGCGTAAGACAAGGCTTAAGTGCAACTCCTTGGCCAAGCGTCTTTTACAACCCTTACCAGGAATGGAGCGTAAAGACAAGGATTAAGTCAACTCCTTGGCCAGCGTCTTTTCAAGCCTTACCAGGAATTGAGCGTAAGACAAGGATTAAGTGCAACTCCTGGGCAAAGCGTCTTTTCAAGCCTTTTCCAAGCCATTTCTAACCCCAATAAAGTTTATTATTATTATTATTATTATTATGATTATATATAACCCTAAGCTGTACATGGTGTGAAAGAAAACATGATTCCTCAGACCAAGCCACCTTCTTACTGCTCCATGGTCCTGTGCTGATGCTCATGTGATTTTCTATGAGCTTTTGATGGAAGACACTGGCCAGCATAACCAGTGTAGAAGCGATCATTTTCTTGGTTTTCATCCCTGGTTGTCTAGTGGTAAGACCGGTGTTTAAGTTGTATAAACACAATCATACATATATAAACACAATCACGGCAGCCCTCAGGAAATACAAACACATGAATAAGGCAGGTAATCAAACTAAACCCAACACCTGCCGTGAGATCACATTCACACTAACCACACTGCCCGACTCAACTGCACCCCAGCATGTCAACTACATTATGAACAGTCTTATCAACAAAGTGCAGCATGTCAGAGTGGGATTTGAACCCACACCTCCAGAAGAACTGAAACCTTAACACAGCGCCTTAGACCACTCGACCATCCTGACTAAAAGGCCCAAAAACTATGCAAAGGAAATTCCAAACTATGCAGGGGCATTTATTTAAACAAGCTCTCAGGAACAGCCCAATACCCCCTCATCAGAGGTGCAGCAAAGGAACCAAATGTCAGAAATGGGATTTGAACCCGCCCTCCAGGGGAGACGGCGACCTGAGCATGCGCCTTAGACCGCTCGGCCATCCTGACACACTTAAGCTACAGTGTCGTGGACCATGCTCGGGTATAGCCAATACTTTCCAAATAAAGCACAATTAGATTACTTGAAATAGAAGCACTGATTTCATCAATAAGTGCTACCTCTTTGGGGCAGTCTCATCTGTGTATTTGTCATTACTTACTTTGTGTGAGTCCTGCGATGTTTCTCGGCTGAAAGTCACCCTAATTGTAGCACATTTACTGCAGTTTTAAAGTAAGTGCTAGCAAGTTGGGGCATAAGCGTGAGCTGTTAGTTTGAAGGGAAATCAGTGTCAGGTGTTTTCCGTCTATGGCATAACAATCAGGTGTGAGTGAGTACCATGTCTGATTTGAGGAACAGGGATCAGTCAAAGTCTGACCTTCACAACACATGTTTGTTAAAGTGTATCATGCTAGGCAAAAAATTTTATTTGTGAGGATCTGGGAAAAGGCTTTCGGATGAGGTGGCCGAGAGGTTAAGGCGATGGACTGCTAATCCATTGTGCTCTGCACGTGTGGGTTCGAGTCCCACCCTCATCGCAGACAGGTTGTTTTGCCTCCACTTTACAACAACCTCTGGCTTGGGTGCAGTCTGTCTCACACATACAAGGCCTACAGGTGACAGGCTCTGGACAGATCCATGAGACAGAACAAGTGTGGGTGGAGAAACATGAAAAGCTAGAATTGCAATGGCAAACAATGTGCATCACATCCTCCTTTATTCTCCACAGACTCCACAGACTGGCATGTAATTTCATAACTGTGAGTTATGTCAGCAATAGGTTAAGTTGATGGACTGCCAATCTGCTGTGCACAGTCTGGATTTGAATCAAGAAGACTTTTAATGCAGGTTTAATGCAAGTTCTCATTCGTAGTTTGACAGACAATACTGTCCAAATTAAACACCATTACATTACAGGAAATAGAAGCACTGATTTCATCAATAAGTGCTACTCTTTGGGGCAGTCTCAGCTGTGTATTTGACATTACTTACTTTGTGTGAGTCCTGCGATGTTTCTCGGCTGAAAGTCACCCTAATTGTAGCACATTTACTGCAGTTTTAAAGTAAGTGCTAACAAGCTGGGGCAACTTTCAGTGAATTTGGACACCACAAATGTGGAGTGTGAAACTATAATCACATTCATTGTTGTTGAGATTCTAACTAAAGTGTTTCTCTTTATAAATATCTATTAAAATTCTTGCACATATGCTTAGTGAAACATGTGTTGAAATCTCTTAGAGCAATACTTTTTAATACATCAGTGAGAGCATCATTTGGCTGTGTACCTACTCTCAACCTAGCGTGATAACTGCCTGTCAACGTGTGAATGACCTGGTTCATTCACAAGGAGTGATCTGCCATCATCACTTCTATTGTCACATTGGCTTCTGTGGGTTGGACTGTGAATCATCTCAATTTACGATCAGACTCCAAGCATTGCAATGAACATCACTTGACTCAGGCCCCTCAGAATGAAAAAGTGGTCAACTGGTAAACTCTCAGTGGACAACTTCTAGGAAAGCAGGCATGCACTGATTACATTTGTCATGGTAAACATGGCAGGAGAAGATGCAAAGAAGTAGACCACCTATCTGTCTTATTGTCACCGTTGATATCCTATCAATGGCTCTGACCTTCCTGAATGGTAAGTACTATTTGTTGGGGTGATGTTGGGTGATTCAATCAACTAAAGATACTATATTTTTGTTTACAATGTATTAAACGTTAAACAGTTTGGACAACATCCAATACTTTCAAAAGAAATCACAATTCGATTACTTCAAATAGGAGCAACTTGATTTGCATTACATTCGTAAGTGCTTCTCGTTGGGGCAGTCTCATCTGTGTATTTGACTTTACTGTCTTCTGTGACTGCTGCAATGTATCTCTGGATGTTACCCCAATTGTATCACATATACTTCAGTTTTAATGTGATTTTCTGAAAGCCTTGATACCTTTCAGTGACAGCAATAATATGAAATTACTGTCTTCTGTGACTGCTGCAATGTATCTCTGGATGTTACCCCAATTGTATCACATATACTTCAGTTTTAATGTGATTTTCTGAAAGCCTTGATACCTTTCAGTGACAGCAATTATATGAAATGTTGAAACGGTGACATTTTTTCACTTCATACAGATTAAGTTGAACTGTTCCCAGTGAATTTGGTGAAATTTATTCTGCCAACTGTGTGTTTGTTTGTTTGTTTTTTTCTTCACATGAACTACCATCAGAGCTATTGTCCCTTTTCATTTTGATGCTGGGCAGATCCTGAACATTCATTGGAATGACACCGGACTCAGAATGAAAAGCATTGCATTTGTTCAATTGGCAAATTCTCAGTAGCAGGTATGTAACAACTGTGAACAGCAATTAATGCACAGTGAGGAAGATTGTCACTAATGCTAGCCAAGTACTGGCCTGTCTGAAAGGCAAACCAAACTTCAGACGTAGTTGGCAGGAGTCGAACCTGCGCGGGGAGACCCCAATGGATTTCTAGTCCATCGCCTTAACCACTCGGCCACAACTACATAAAACAGCCTTGCTTCATCGTCGACCAATGTCTGAACGTATTCCCATGCAATTTGTTTGAGAAAAGTATAGGCTTCACTTAGGGACCCTGCTCAGGTATTTCGGCAACAAAGCAGTGGAGTTGGTTCTTTCTATGCACAGTGCCATCCTGACACACATAAGCTACAGCGTCGTGGACCATGCTCGGGTATAACCAATACTTTCCAAATAAAACACCATTACATTACTTGAAATAGAAGCACTGATTTCATCAATAAGTGCTACTCTTTGGGGCAGTCTCATCTGTGTATTTGACATTACTTACTTTGTGTGAGTCCTGCGATGTTTCTCGGCTGAAAGTCACCCTAATTGTAGCACATTTACTGCAGTTTTAAAGTAAGTGCTAGCAAGTTGGGGCATAAGCGTGAGCTGTTAGTTTGAAGGGGAAATCAGTGTCAGGTGTTTTCAGTCTATGGCATAACCAAGCCACCTTCTTACTGTTCAAGGGTGCAACGGTTAATACACATCATTTAATACTTGACGTAAAACACAGTTACAAAACATTTAACTCAAAGGAGCTACTCCACTCACCAGCGGTAGCAGTCAGGAATTCCAGGAAATATCCCGTTTTACCATTAAATACATTTCTAGTATGTTAAGAGAGATAATACACTTTAGTCGTTAGCTTACATTTAGTGTGAATGGTTGTGGCCGGGCCTAACCATTCTATTGGACCGTCTTTACAAGCCTTAGCAGGAATGGAGCGTAAGACAGGGCTTAAGTGCAACTCCTTGGCCAAGCATCTTTTCAAGCCTTTTCAAGCCATTTCTAACCCCAACCCTAAGCTGTACATGATGTGAAAGAAAACGTGATTCCTCAGACCAAGCCACCTTCTTACTGCTCCACTGTCCTGTGCTGATGCTCATGTGCAGTTTCTATGAGCTTTTGATGGAAGAAACTGGCCAGCATAGCTAGTGTAGAGGCCACCATTTTCTTGGTTTTCGTCCCTGGTTGTCTAGTGGTAAGGATTCGGCGCTCTCACCGCCGCGGCCCGGGTTCGATTCCCGGTCAGGGAATGGTGTTTTATCCACCGCTGGCCAAATTAACATTTAAAAAGAAACCATATCACACAGAGAAATCCGTCCTTCGAACCAGTGACCTGAGGATGACTAGTTTAAGTACCTACAGTCCTCCGCTCTACCAACTGAGCTATCGGAGGTGAAGCGAAGCTCAATCCATGTATATCTATAAAACCATTCGGTATATCGATATATAAGGTGCGAATTTATCCCAACTGAGCAAGCCACTAAGTGGTGACGGTGGCAAGGAAAAACTCCCTAAGATGTTAAGAGGAACAAACCTTGAGAGGAACCAGAATCAGAAGGGAACCTATCCTCATCTGGGTAACATCAGATAGTGTGAAAAAGATGATTATGGATTCATATGGAGTCTCTTTGGCCTTAGAAGCAGCTGTAGTCCCAGCAATCTGGAATTGGAGTAGATGAGAGCTCCATCCAGAGGTAGGCCATCCAAAATGGATCAGGTAGGTCCAGAGAGCAGAGGGGATCAGGATCTCTAGTATCTCCATAAAATCGGGTGTGGCTCGACAGAAGGAGGGAGGGAGAGAAAAAAAACTAGGACTGTGCTTAGCATAAGAGAAAGTCTAGTCAGGGTAGGCTTGATTAAACAAATACGATTAAAGCCTAGACACTGAGACTGTGCCTGAGTCCCGAACTCTAATTGGAAGACTGTTCCATAAGTGTGGGGCTCCAGAAGAGAAAGCTCATCCTCCTGTTGTAGCCTTCGCTATTCGAGGTACGAACAAATAGCCTGCATCTTTTGATCTAAGTAGGCGTGGCGGATCATAGAAAAGCAAAAGGTAACGCTAGATACTGCGGCGCAGACCATTTAGTTAATTATGGGTTACTAATAGTATTTTATAATATAAAGTATTTTATAGTTATCTTTGATAAGTGAGCTAGCAAACGAGATCGATTTTCTATTCGAATTTTGCTCTTCACAAGCAAAGCGGCAAAAGTGATTTAAGGAAACACTAGACTATTTTTTCTGGAGCCAATAAACGTGTTTGTGCATCTTTATATTCTCATGTTTCTGCCCTTCTTCAATACATTTACTTCAATTAAGTAACTAGACCATTTACAACTTTACATGTACACATTCGATTCAGTTCAAATCAATTTTATTTGTGTAGCGCTTTTTACAGTGGACATTGTCTCAAAGCAGGATTCGTTTGACTTCCTTTACGTCAATGCAATTTCCCAGGATGGAAGATGTGTTTGGCACGAGCTTGTTTGATGAATGCCAAGGTGCTTTGTTGCTCATCTTCATAAAGATTCTCTGCATTAAGACTCAGGTTCATAGCAGGCTTCAACTTGCACAGGTAAAGCCCCAGTGCAGTTCAAGTCCAGTGCCATATTCTGTTGGCCATCACGGGTATGGGGCACAGGACAAGGCTTAAGTGCAATTTCTTGGATCATT